AATAAAAGCTATATATGAGAAACCCTCAGCAAACAGTATCCTCAATGGTGTAAAATTGAAAGCATTTCCCCTAAAGTCAGGAACAAGAGAAGGGTGTCCACTCTCACCACTATGATTCAATATAGTTTTGGAAGTTTTGGCCACAGCAAGCAGAGCAGAAAAAGAAATAAAAGGAGTTTGCAGATGACATGATCCTCTACAATGAAAACCCTAAAGACTCCACCAGAAAATTGCTAGAGCTAATCAAAGAATACAGTAAAGTTGCAGGATATAAAATTAACACACAGCAATCCCTTGCATTCCTATACACTAACAATGAGAAAACAGAAAGACAAATTAAGGAAACAATTGCATTCACCTTTGCAATGGAAAGGATGAAATATTAGGAATAAATCTACCTAAAGAAACCAGTCCTATATACAGAAAACTATAAACCACTGGTGAAAGAAATCAAAGAGCATACAAATAGATGGAGAAATATACCATGTTTATGAATTGGAAGAAGCAATATAGTGAAAATGAATATACTACCTCAAGGAATCTATAGATTTAATGCAATCCCTATCAAGCTACCAATGGTATTTTTCAGATAACTAGAACAAATAATTTCACAATTTGTATGGAAATACAAAAAAACCTCAAAGAGCCAAAGCAATCTTGAGAAAGAAGAATGGAACTGGAGGAATCAACCTGCCTGACTTCAGTCTCTACGACAAGCCACAGTCAGCAAGACAGTGTGGTACTGGCACAAAGACAGAAATATAGATCAATGGAACAAAATAGAAAGTCCAGAGATAAGTCCGCACACCTATGGACAACTTATGTTTGACAAAGGAGGCAAGAATATACAATGGAGAAAAGACAATCTCTTTAACAAGTGGTGCTAGGAAAACTGGTCAACCACTTGTAAAAGAATGAAACTAGAACACTAACACCATACACAAAAATAAACTCAAAATGGATTAGAGATCTAAATGTAAGACCACACACTATAAAACTCCTAGGGGAAAACATAGGCAAAACACTCTCCAGCATAAACCACAGCAGGATCCTCTATGACCCACCTCCCAGAATATTGGAAAGAAAAGCAAAAATAAACAAGTGGGACCTTATGAAAATTAAAAGTTTCTGCACAACAAAGGAAACTATAAGCAAGGTGAAAAGACAGCCTTCAGAGTGGGAGAAAATAATAGCAAATAAAGCAACTGACAAAGAAGTAATCTCAAAAAGATACACGCAACTCCTGCACCTCAATTCCAGAGAAATAAAAGACCCAATCAAAAAGTGGGCCAAAAAATTAAACAGACATTTCTCCAAAGAAGACACACAGATAGCTAACAAACACATGAAAACATGCTCAACATCACTCATTATCAGAGAAATGCAAATCAAAACCACAGTGAGGTACCATTACATGCCAGTCAGAATGGATGCTATCCAAAAGTCTACAAGCAATAAATGCGGGAGAGGGTGTGGAGAAAAGGGAATACTCTTACACTGTTGGTGAGAATGCAAACTAGTGCAGCCACTATGGAGAACAGTGTGGAGATTCCTTCAAAAACTGGAAATAGAACTGCCATATGACCCAGCAATCTGCTGCTGGGCATACACACTGAGGAAACCAGAACTGAAAGAGACATGTGTACCCCAATGTTCATCACAGCACTGTTCATAATAGCCAGGACATGGAAGCAACCTAGATGCCCATCAACAGATGAATGGATAAGAAAGCTGGGGTACATGTACGAAATGGAATATTACTCAGCCATTAAAAAGAATACATTTGAATCAGTTCTAATGAGGTGGATAAAACTGGAGCCTATTATACAGAGTGAAGTAAGCCAGGAAAAAAAACACAGTACAGTATACTAAAGCATATATATGGAATTTAGAAAGAAGGCAACGATAACCCTTTATGTGAGACAGCAAAAGGAACACAAATTTATTGAACAGTCTTTTGGACTCTGTGGGAGAGGGAGAGAGTGGCATGATATGGAAAAATGGCATTGAAACATGTAAATTATCATATGTGAAATGAATCGCCAGTCCAGGTTCGATGCATGAGACAGGATGCTTGGGGCTGGTGCACTGGGATGACCCAGAGGGGTGGGGTAGGGAGGTAGGTGGGAGGGGAGTTCAGGATGGGGAATACATGTACACTCATGGCAGATTCAAGTCAATGTGTGGCAAAACCAATACAATGCTGTAAAGTAAAATAAATTAATTAATTAATTTTAAAAAAGGACATAGGGAAAAAACAAAGAAAATCATACTATTTCAAGACAGACAACATACGTATTTCCAGTAATGAACCTCCTGTTCAGAACTCAGCCACACGTATTTCCATGGTGGTGAATAAAAGATATGGTGGTTGTGCATGAGATAGCTCAGCATATTGCAAATGGTCAAATATCAAAGTTTTGGCTTAGCTTCTGGTTCAAGATGGCAGAGTAGAAGGACATGCACTTCTCTCCTCACACAAGAGCAACGAAATCGCAACTAGCTGATGAACAACCATCCAGAGGAAGACTCTGGAGCCCACTAGAAAAGGATGCCCCAGGTCCAAACACAAAGAAGAAACTACAATGAGATGTAGGAGGCGCTCAAGCACAATAGAAATAAATTCCATACCTGTCAGATGGGAAACCAACACACTGGAAAACAGTAATACCAAAAAAGTTCTCCCACTGGTGTGAAGGTTCTGAGCCTCATGGCATGCTTCCAAGCCTGCAAAGGGACTGGGAATCCCCAGGGAATCTGACTCTGAAGGCCAGTAGGATTTGATTGCAGGACTTCCACAGGACTGTGGGAGAGACTCGCCTTGCAGGGGACAAACAAAATCTTGCATGCACCAAGACCCAGGGGAAGGGAGCAGTGACCCCACAGGAGACTGAACCAGACCTAGGTCCTAAAGTTGGAGTCTCCTGTGGATGTGTGGTTCAGAAGTGGCTTGCCCTTTGGACAAGGGTACTAGCAGCAGCAATCCTGGAAGGTGGCCCTTGGTCTAAGTTCCCTTGGAGGTTGCCGAAAATCAAGCACTTCATTCATTAGTAATGTTTCTCACTTCTTTAGTATGAGAAGAGGTAAAACTGGCTTCTGAACCACTTGTTGGGTTTTGTTCCTTCAGTAGCAAAACAGAGGCTCCAGCAGGTGACGTTGCCAGCAAGTACGGACAAGGGATTTTATGGAAACGAGAAGCAGGATTGAACCTTGGACAGCCCAGGACTGGAGATCAGGACCATACACTTCACAGCCCCTGCTGTTTCTTTGCTGTTTCTGATTGTCTTTGATTATCTGCACTGATCCGCAATCTCTATTCTTTCCCTGTTAACGTACCTATGTGAGATCAAGCATTTTTGACTAATTCATCTTCCTCAAAGAGTTTTTTATGAACTCACAGGAATGCTTTTAGAAGTATGAAACCCCAAAATTGGAATGCTCTTCAGCATACAGCAAAGGAAAGTTCTCACACTGAAAGCACTATGGAACTAGCACGCAAGGTGAAAAGAAAATACCTTTGCCAGGGGCCCAGCACCTTTCCAGTGTCGCCTTCCAGTCACTGTCTCAGGCCAGCTGTCCTATCTCCTCCCTGAGGGCAGTCACTCTGTGATCCTCACAGTCCTGATGATTTCTGCAAGGAGCGCTTGATGCCTCTTGTGTGATATGCCCTCATTGAATCCAAACAGTAATTATATGAAAACCACTCTTATTGTCCACATATTAAAGATGAGGAAACTGACCTGTAGTGTTTGTGATATGTTTCAGGGTCACACTGTGGATAAATTGCAGAGCTGGGAATCAGAGGTTTTGACATTTCTAGAACTCCTTTCACTTGGGCTCTCTTCCTGTGGCTTCCACTCTGACTACAGCATGCAGCTAGAAGCCAAAAGAGAACAGAGCTCCTGTGTTGGAAGCAGTGAAGGCGCTGTGTAAGGGGGTGAACTGCTCAGTCAGGCAGGACTGAGGAGAAGGTGGGAGACAGAGTAATAGGAATCAGGAGAGGCTATCAACACCGTATGTCATCAGCTTTCCAGCGGGAGGTGACTGCTTCCCTCATATACTTATATCAATCATTCTGTAATGAGTGGGTATAAATTAGCTATGCCTATGACATCAAGAGTAAACATTTTCTACAATTTCATAATTTCCCTTCTTCTTTTCTCTATTTGGCACCCCCACAGTTTATAGGATCTTAGCTCCTCAACCAAGGCTCCCTGAAGGAAGAAAGAGTCCTAACAACTGCACCCACAGAAAATTCTCAGAATTCCACATTTTGACAAACATTTCCTAGAAAACGATAGAACTGTTCCACAGTATAAAGTGAACAAATACTATTTTCTGATAGGTGTATGTGGACAACATAACGATTTAGGTTTTCAAATTAAAAACTCAAGAAATTTATCTCGATAACTATTTAATAAACAAAACAAATAATTTTAATGAAAGAGGGAAATATATTTTCTAAATTTTAATACAATGTAAACATATACATCTTTTATATGAAAATATAAATATGATGAGATAAAATATTACATGAACTAAATAAAGAATAAATAAATAGCATCAGGGCAGTCATCGCTTATGGATTGATACCCGTGCAGTTGAATACTTTGATATCTACTTGCTTATTACTACTAACATGTATTGGCTGAGTGAATTCAATAAATTTGGTGGCTGAAGCAGAACTCAGAGTCTTCTGAAATGACCCCAGGTGAGTATACAAGGGTGACGTGGCATCTTAGTCAGTGAGAGTCATGTCAATGTGAGTTCAGGTCTCCATCTTACATTCTTATCCTATCTTGCAAGCTGGTGATGAAGAGAGAGAAGGCTCTCCTTATATCCATTCTGATGATTTCCCAGGCACAGGCGCTGTATTCCTTCTCATTCAGGTAGACATGGATTCCCTTGAAGTACGTTTTCACGGCATCTGTGGGGCCCTTCCTTCCCAGGGTAGAGTCTTCCTCTCCCGTGACCTGCTGCCAACAGTCATGCAGGTCGGCCAGCTGCTGATGGAGTCCAGTGCGGAGCTGCTCCAGGAGGGTGGTGTCCCAGGCAGCAGAGGAGCGCTCTGTGTGGAAGAGGTTGAAGCTCTGCTGGAGCATCTCGTGGAGCACAGAGATGGCCTGGGCCTCCTGCAGCTGGCTGCCCTCCACCATCTCCTGTGGAAAAGCGAAGTCTTTTCTGTCCTGCAGACAGAGATGAGGGGAGAGTCTCCTCATTTGGTCCAGGAGAGTGAGGTTCTTCTCAGTGCCAGCCAGCACATGGTTCAGAGACAGGTCACAGCCCAGGGATCCTCCAGGGCCATAGCTGACCAGCACCAGGGCCATCAGTAGAGAGAGCACGAAGGCCATGGGGAAGATGAGGCTGCTGCTGGGCTGGCGGAGACGGCGTCTGGTGAACCTTGAGGTAGGTTCTCTGATGCCATGCTTTCTAAGCAAGGCCATTAAATAGGGAACATGGTAGTTTTCATTTTCTAATCATTTCTACACACTTTTACTTCCTTTTTTGGTTTTCTGTTATGTATTCTAAATACAGTCAAAGTAATTTTCTTCCTTCTAGACTGTTAATTTTGCCTTTTCCTAATGACTTCAGAAGTGCCAATCCAAATGAATATTTTTCAATCAAATGGGAAAGGTCTTTGTCTTAAGTCTGTATTGATGGACATGTGTGATCACACAGGTTATTGCCCTTTATCTCTCATTCATAAGTGTTACTCTCCTCTCATCCATGAACACATTGTTGGCTTGCTTTAGGCTGCATTTTTCCCTCTTAGTTTCCAGAGGAAGCCAGGCTCTGTCAGCCCTATTGTTCCCTATTTGTAAGGGATTTACCAGATCACTCTGGCAGTTGAGCTCTTGGAAACAAAGGATGAGTTTTCCTTACTGTTTGATTTAGAGAAGAAGCTGATTATTATCAGCCCTTGAACTCCTCCCACACTTTCCTTCCTTCTGGAGCAAATTCCTGCAGATCCCTGCCCCTCAGGAAACCACGAGGGCAGGTCTATCACAGACATCTCCCTTTCTTTCCACCATTTTCTTATTGGACACCTGTGGTCCTCCACAGACTGGGCCAATGCACCGGCCAGAATCCTAGTTCTTCTCAGGGAACATGGGTGAGGAGATTCTAATTCCAGGATCATTGTATTTCCCCAGCAGCACCTCACTCACGAGGGAGAGATCGCATGGGGCCGCAGCCTGTCCTCGGGAGTGACCGGGTCCCTTCCTCACCTGGTGGACTCCCTCCCTGCGGACAGGCTCACTGCCTCCTGTGGACGAGAATCTCCTTTCCGTGGAGGGCTTGTTTATTTATCGGGAAGATAGTCTTCCTGAAAGCCCACCCGCTCCCCTGGAGTGGTTGTGTGAAGGACCCCAGTTCTCGGTGGTGACCTCTTCTTCTCCTGACCCATTTCCCCAGGTGTCCAAATTGTCAGCACTGCTCAGAAGCTGAGAGCAAAAGTGTGTTTGCGCAAGCTGGTGGAGGAGTTTCCACCTGCAGTTATTTTACCTTTTCATAGATAAATAATATTTACTTTGACAAATATATGTTTTATTATTCAACCCTTTTACTTAAACTCTTCAACACTTGTTCTGCTCAGGGTTTCTGAGCTGGAGGAAGGAGATTCAGTGATGGTGTTGTCCCTCATTGGAAGCTTATGTCACAGAATCTAATGAGTTTCAGTCATTTATTCGGGCAGTTGATTCTACTGGGCATCTCTGTTCCTCTGTTTCTGTCTCCTCCGAGATTGCAAGGCAGTGAGACCCAGGTTACTAGATCAGGACAAATAGACTTCTTTCCTTTACTTGAGCATAATTTTTCATTTAAACTGTTTATATACACTTAGTGACTTATTGGCCAATGTTGGTATTCCTCTTCTGCTCTGGTTCTATTTCATGATGAGACAAGAACAATAAAGGGAAGTAAAGAAAGCCAGAAGGGCTGCATCCCTATCACATTCAAGACATTAGATTTTTTGCCTTGTTTCTGTTTGCAAGTTTCCTAGAAAGTAAAATTGCATAGTTGTTTTGTGGGCAACAAGAAAACAAGGGTAAGTCTCAATGTCATGATATGGAAGAAGGGAAGTGATTTTCCCCTGACGTAATGAGGTATTCTGAGTTAGCAAACTGCAGTGCGGCACACCTGGGGAGTAGGCTGTGGCAGAGGGGGAGGAAGAGGCCAATATGAACAACAGAAAGCCTGGGACAGGGCTGCTTATTAGAGAAGCTCAATGAAGGCCAAGTCCTGAGTCAGTAGACTGCCTTCAGCTTTGGAAGACCAGCTAGCTGATTTTCCTTTCCTTTAATCCACATGTGATCAGCTTAAGGGGAGATGGAAGAGAGACGGGCAATCAGAACCCCAGTTTCTAGAACACAAACCCTTTCTGGCAGGCTTGAGGAGACCAGCCTTGCCTAGCATCTGTGTAGTTGATAAATGCACTTGGGCAATGAGAAGATGCTTTGAAAAAACTGGAATGAAAGGGAATGAAATGATTCCAAAAGATCCTGATCTTAATCTGGTTAACAATAAAATTATGATATTGAAAGTAAGAGCTGCATTTTATTGATTGCTAACCCTAATGATTTCTTTAATATTCCAGTTTGTGATATGATCACATTGATGGGTTGGGTTTCTGCAGGTTTTTAAAGAATTTTAAAAATATTTATGTGCTTATTTGGCTGGGCCAGGTCTTAGTTGAAGCATGCTGGATATTGCATCTTCCTTGCTTCAGGCAGGATCTTTACTTGGGCCATGGGAAGTCTTGCCTGCCTCATGCAGGATCTAGTTCCCTGAACAGAGATCCAACTCAGGCTCCCTGCTTTGGGAGCATGGAATCCTGGCCACTGGACCATCAGGGAAGTCTTGAGGGGTGGGGTTTCAATATATGAATTTGGCGACCACACACACATTCAGTCTGTAACATGGTAAAAAGATACCAAGGTATTGTGTTTATGGCAAGGATTCATTAGGATGTTTCCTTCTCAGTATTTATTTGCAGAGAAACAACACATTGCCTGATGCTACCCTCACTTTTTATGGCACATCCATCCTGAATTGTTTACTAATTAACTGTTATTCATGTTGTACTGTGAACCTAATTACCAAGGATCTACCAGGCTTCCCTGGTGGCTCAGATGGTAAAGAATCCACCAGCAATGCAGGAGACCGAGGTTCAATCCCTGAGTTGGGAAGATCCCAGGGAGAAGGAAATGGTAACTCAATCCAGGATTCTTGCTTGGAGAATTCCTTGGGCAGAGGAGCCTGACAGTCTACAGTTTATGGGTCGCAAAGAGTCGGACTCAACTGAGCAACTAACTCTTTTGCGAGACAAATTCCACAGACTATCAGGGTTCATCAAAAATGACAGTGACAACAACGACAAATTCCAGAGCCTCTGTAAGGGACTCACTTAATCCTTCCAACATAGTTAAAACTGAGTTAATATTCTCCTTTCCAAGAGCCCCCTGTTAAGACTTTAGTTGAATGAAATAATCTAAGAATGAATTTGCAAATCCAGGTTTCAAAACCTAATATGTAAGATTCCAAACTCCCTATCCACAGCATAAACACCTGAGCACACTGCATGTACTGAACTTTCACTTATTTCCCTATTTTACTTCTAACACAAGATGTTCCTTTGGTGTTTCATAGCTCGATGTTATAAATCTCTTATTTTCATTAATTAACGCCTCCCTCCAAATCTTAGATAACCTGAGCGATTTACAAAGTATCCTGATTATTTTGTATAAGAAGCAAAATGAAATTATCAAGTGGTAGGTATTACTGAGAGTCTAACTGTGCTTGACAAAATAATTCTAATAATTATAAAATAATCATACTTAACTGTCGAAGATGACTCATAGATTGTTAAGTGATCCTCACCATAAAATTGAGATACATGACGGACAAAGTCTTTGAGAGTTATGACTCCTGCACGAGATTTGGATTACAAACATTTCAGTGAATCCACTGTCGAAAACCCCAAGCTAACAGTGCTTGTGGATATAGGTAAAGCATACTTAATGCTACCAAATTACATGAATGTGGGAAACGACTGGAAGAATACAAGACGACGCATGCTAACGGGTGAATTGTGAGGGACGGAGCAGAGCATCCCCATGGCCCTCAGCAGGGAAACCAGGAGTCCAGAAATTCAGCACTTCCCCTGGGCCTCAGGGAAACAGCTCAGGTCCTGCCCTGAGCTAAGCCCCGCTCCAAGCTCATTTTGCTGCGCCCCAACGGCCGGGAGGGGGCGCCCGATCTCGCAGGAACTGACAGACCGGCGCTGCAAACCCAGCTGACCCGCCTCCAGGTACAGAGCGGCCAACTCGGGCGGCGGATCCACGGGGAGAACTCGGGGGTCGCCTCGGCGGGAGCCGCCGGAGCCCAGGGAGCGCATGGGGCCGCGCGAGCAGAGAGGAAAGTTTTTCGGGCCCGACTGCCCAGGGCAGCTTTGCCGCCGCTTCTTTCAGAGCCTTTGATGTCTGCACTTGCCTTTGTGTCCACACTCCCCTTCCTGCGAGGAGATTTTAGCCAGAACGATTTACAGCGGTGCCTGTTTATGCTGCGATTGATGGCTGGAAATCCAATGGCAACCCACTCCAGTACTCTTGCCTGCAAAATCCCATGGACAGAGGAGCCTGGTAGGCTGCAGTCCATGGGATCGCGAGAGTCGGACACGACTCTAGCGACTTAGCAGTAGCAGCAGCAGATGGCTGAAAATCAGAGCATGTTGTGGTATGTTTTCAGATTCAGAACTGCTTCTGGGGAAAAGAACTAATTCAGGGACAATGGGAAAGGCATCTACAATCCGGACAGAAATCTACTAGATATTGGGATCCTCCAGTGGAAAGGAAGACTGGGGACAAGACTGAGACTTAAAGGAGCCCCCGGGATTGAGAAAATTATTTCATTCAATAGTAATATTAAAGGTAAATTTCTCTTGTAATATTAATTGTTTGAAAAATCCTTTAAAATATATAAGTCTTAAACTCACATCAAATTGAAATATTTTCCTTATGCCCCAACAGTACTTTTATGTTCCTGGCTTCAATGGAAGCAAAATTAGCAGTAATATTTTCAAAATTGCTACTTTGTATATATCTCTCCTCACTGATGGAATGCCATATTTGATAAATTATGACCCAGTAACTATCTTAAAGAACCAATCTCAACTTAACCAATCTCAAAATCCTTTTTCCTCTCATGTCTTTTAACCAAGGATCATCTATTAAACATTCATTTTCTTATGTAGTCAGTTTTTCATTGGAGAGGTTCATTAACTTTTTCAAAATGTCAAATCATGTGGATAAGTTGCTTAAAAAGCTGCAATCAAAATGCTTTTGATTTCAGCATC